GTATGACTCACACAAGTCTTCGAACAAATGTCAATGTGAACACTTGAACTCCTTGCACTCATTGGTAAGTCTCCCACTGGCATGCACATTTTGCTTTTTGAACACATGATTATCATTGTTGACAAACATGTATAGATAGGATTATGCATATTATTTTCCCTTCAAATCTTCAATTTATTAATAACTATGCAGGTTTATGGTGTGTTTGGTTTTGCAGAACATGTTCAATTATCAGTTCCTTAAATTTGTATTCATTTAAAATTTGTGTTGTGAACCAGGCTTATTGTCAAGCCTTTCTATTAGCCATGTGTGATTAGTGCTTATTCAATGTAGTAGAGAAGTGAACTTCTCTCTGGTTCTGCATTTGGAACGGCCCGTTCTGACACCCAGAAATACCCTTATTCCTTTATTAAAATTACGAAAATGCCATCTTTTTAAAAAAACTGGATGTTACATTTCCTACAAGAAAACAGGTATTCATAGATTCCCAAACAATTCAAATTACACGACATTAACTATACATATAATTTAAACATTACATATAATGCACATAAGAAGAGTGTGAAAAACAAATTCACAGATTACAAGACAAAATTGAGATTCCTTTCTCACAGCACACAAGAATAGATAAAAGATTGAGGTCAATCTCACTATCCAACATATAATTCACACTCAGATTAAGAGTACTCACTCCTCCTTACCTCAATGAATGTTAAACGAAGGATATGGATCTTTGAGGTGATTGTGACACCCTCTACCCCACATACATAATTATACAATAAATGGAGATAAATAAAAACCTTCATAAATAAAATCCAAGTCTCTATCCACAAAAGGGTAAAGATCTCACATTCACAAATCATAAAATCATAGTTTAATGCAAAAATTACAAAAGAATAAAATCAAGGTCTTCTAAGCAATTTAACAAGAGTAACATTCTAAATTAATCCTAATTAAGCCTTGATGTCACATGTCGTATCAGAGCACACCCCACAATGAGACTTAAACCTCATCACCAACATCTTCATGTTGATGATCACCTACAACACAATAAAAATACACATAGAGCAACAAGGGAGTGAGAAACATCTGAATCTGGTTCAAATGTAAAAATAAATGTTAGGCAACACACACACATTCATAACAAATACTACACAAGTTACACATAACCAAGCACAACTCTCAAGTTATAAATACATTAGAATAGATGCACGTTCACTTATCATGTAATAATAATTTCATGGACTCAACTCATAAATGCATGCATGTGGCGCCATACGGAAGTTGCACATTTCTCATCATTAGCATGCTACTACAGCAACATACCTGGGGCACGTTCATTCATAAATACATCACTAGTGACCCAAGGTATACCTAAAATATCTCAATACATCACTGGTGACCCAAGGTACACCTAGAATAGCTCAATACATCACTGGTGACCCAAGGTATACCTAAAATAGCTCAATACATTACTAGCATGCAACCTAAGCAGCACACCTAAAATAGTTCATTTCATCACTAGCATTCGGCCTAAGCGGCACACCTGGAGTCATATATGCACATGATGCATGTCACACATTCACTATCTCATCATATCGCATATCACTTGTCACATTTCACATCTTCATAATCATCCCATAAGGTTGCACACATAAAGGTTTTCATCAAAAGATCATGTCCTTAATTGTTCCTCATAGGGTTTCCCACAAGAACCCACAAAATACTCTAATTTATATCAAATCTTATCTATTTTCAAAATTAAACACATTCATACTTAGAATCATACAAGGAACACAACAAAACAGTCAAAAAGTAAAATAGAAACATTCATAATAAAGTGCTTTTTTCCATAGTTAAGCAAAGGATTGGGGCCAATCTTGCTATCAAACTTATCTATTTTCAAAATTAAGCACATATTCATACTCATAATCATACGAGGAATGCAACAAAATAGTCAAGAAGCAAAATAGAAAACATTCATAAAATGTTTATTTCCATGGGTAAGCAAAGGATTGGGGGTCAATCTTGCTATCAAACATATCCAATTTTAAAATTAAACACATTCATGCTCAGTATTTATCAAAGAACATAATAGAATACTCAGAAGCTGAAACAGAAAATATTCAAAATTTGCCTATTTTTCATAGGGTTTCCCGTAGGAACCCACAAAACACTCAAATTCATATAAAAACTTGTCTATTCTTGAAATTGGACACATATTCACACTTAGAATCACACAAGGAATGCAACAAAATAATCAGAAAGCAAAACAGAAAACTTTTATACGCATACATCTAGCAAGGGATTGGGGGTCAATCCGACTATCCAACAATTATTCTCACACCCCGAGTGAGGTTTCTCACTCCCCCCTTACCTTGATGAGTAGAAGACAAAGCGCAAGCAAAATTAGGTTGGTCCTCTTCTTGGAGCTCTTCTTGTTCTTCAGAAGCGTAAGAAGGAAAAAAAGTGAGAAACGTGAAACCGGTAACTTACTGGCTCCTGATAACCTCCTTTCTTAAAATAATAAAATAATTAATAGTAAAATACATTTTACTAAAATGTCCTTGCTTCCTCTCCTCATAATATATTTAAACATATTTCCTCTTTTTAATAAATAACATAAACATAATTCTTGATAAAAACATATATTTCATGAAAATAGTCTTATAGAAAATAATCCAAATATTAATTAAAAATCATTTTTATAATAAAATAGAGCTCACATAAAATAGATAAATAATATAAAATATATTTCTCCCTTCTAGTAAAATAACATACGTTTATATAAAAATAGAACTCATATCTACTAACTAAATAATATTAAAAATCTTTCTAATAAACACATTAAAATATTAGAATAAATACAAACATATTATTAATAAAATACATTTCATAAAAGTTACCTATATATCACTAATCAAAATAATCATTATAAACCATGTCTCATAAATAAAATAAAGCTCATATAATTAATTAAATAATATTAAAAATCTAAAATAACTATATTAAATATCAAAATAATTTTAAAATTTATTTATATAAAGTATGAAAAATCGAGGTGTTACAGTGATTTCCATGGAACTCTGGTTCTCCTAGTTCTTAAGAGCATGGAACATAAAGAGAAGGAAAATGAGGAGCGTAAAACATAAATTGATGTAACCCATTTTAACTCCTTAACCACATTTAACCCTCTAGTAAAACAATTAAATTGTGGTTACACTTCCCTTTCCTTAAAATATTAAAAACATATAAGTAGATAATATATAAAATAAACATATTTCTCTTAATCCAATTATAAATAAAATAAAATATATAAAACATATTTTCTTAAATATATTTAATTACATAAATAATTAAAACATATTTTCTCCAAATACTTTCTATAATAAAATAATTTTACAAATCTTCTTTATTAATTAAAAACACTCATAATTATTAAAAGCCTCTAATATATTTTATAAAATCCCTTAACTAATTAAAACATTCTTTTAATAATTTTAGAAAACTTGGGGTGTTACGTTATCTATACATTAAGAACTTTTAATTTAATAATGACTAGATCGTTCAAATTTGATATAAAACATGAGTTATTGAGTAGAATAAGTATACCAAGAGTTATTCTGGTAGTAAGTAGTTCCTTCCCTTATATATATATATATATATATATATATATATATATATATATATTCTCTCTCTCTCTCTCTCTCTATATATATATATATATATATATATATATATATATATATATATATGGCTTAAATATTTTTTTTGTTTCTCAAATGTAAAACTAGTCTGTTTAGTTCTTGTAATTTTAAAAAATCTTATTTTAGTTCTTATCTCAAATTTTGTTAGGAAATTTATAAAATATTATCACATAAAATCTACCTATTAATATCTCTTTTGGTGAAAACATAACATTAAATCCGACTGTTGCTGTATAATTATCTCAATCTATCATTTTCATATATGTTATTAGTGACTTGAGGGACTAAACCAATATTTTTAAAAATTATAAGGACTAAAAATAATAATTTTTTAAATTTGAGGGGTCAAAAACAAATT